GTCCACCAGAATAACCTAACTGATCGATGGATGTGGAAGCGACCAAGCTGAGAAGCATGTGTCTTATAGATGTAGGAATTGATTTCAAGTTGGTCATATTTATTCTCAGTTCCTGTCAATAAAATGTTCATTGAGTCGCTACAGGCAAAATGGTGCCCGATAGCATCATGATTTCGTTCACTCCAAATTTAAATGATCCATGTTTATTTGTTTGTTTGGATCGGTGGTTCACGTCGTCTTCTCTAAGAAGTCAGTTAGATTGCTCAATCCTATTGTAGTTTCGAAGCTTCGTTAATCAATCAATTTATTGATCGGTATCATATAAATCTGAACTCTGATTGAAATCGTTAGTCGATGGAATCGTCAACTATAGCTTAATGGTGGATAACGCATGTCACATTGCCGTAAGCTTATCGAGCAAATCGGGTGCAGAGAGTCAAATATGTGTGTGCGAAGAATTACAGAGGCGAATGTATATCGAAATAACATAAGAGCAAAGCGGAGCCTAATAAAAGGATTCCAGTTCATAAATACATGTAAAAATAATGAATCATGGAGTCATACTCAAACGTTCCAGACTACTGCCAGAGTCTTCTGTGTATCCTAGTGATAATGACAGAACAAAAATTAGACGAATTATGACTGTAAAATTGACATTGTCTGCTTACCAATTTATTAAGAAATGGATCCAAAATTAGCCATAATCCAAGTTGGTTGTGGGATAGTTGCTCTACTATCAGCAGTCTTAAAGGCAGACGTTCAATTAAGAATACGGATTTTATAATCTCTCACATCATGTTGAGTTCTATACAAACACAATTTTCGCACATGTCTACATGAAGCACTGCAAATGATACTTGGAAAAAAAATTTATTTTACAATTCTAACTAGAATGAACAGACATAATTTCACAGTTTTATACTCCATCATTTTCAAATAGATCATCTCTTCATACAATAGAAGATTGTTTTTCATTATTTTGACTGAACATCAGTGTCAAGCTTTGTTATTTGGACAACAGTGACATATTTAGGACATTGTTGCATGACCGAGGGTGAAAATCTTTTACATATTTCAATCATCGTTATCTGCATTTTAGACCAAAATTGTTCGGGTGCCACATTTTTAACTGATGGCGTGAATTTTAACCTATTTTTTTTCCTTATCCATTATGTACACACCATCCAGTATAAAACATCATGTAACAAACAAATGTATATTTTACATATTACCCGCAATGATTTTCTGAACAATGATGAATATTAAGCATGCACAATAGTTTAAATATAGTCGAAAAAGATGGAACGGCCAGCTAAGCAACGTCGTCGTATCATTTGGAAGAAATAAACGTTCTGTTCACTTTTGGTATTATGAAATAAATCATAATAATATCGAAGAGATTATGATGAGAGAGATTATAAAATCAACATTCATAATTGAAATATTTGTTCTGTGAACGTGCTATCTTCTACCGCGGAATAAGACCATCCAAAATGCAGCATATATATAAAGGTGTTTGATTATTCGTGAACTTAGTTTCCACAATCTATCTACTGATTTAGATTGATGATTAGAGAACAGTGAGTTTGAGTGTTGTTTACACTACCTGTTCGACAAATTCTACTATCTGAGAATCAGATAAACATCACGAAACCTTCTTTATTTCTGAAGTGAATGGTTAGTCGTCGCTCTCTGCAGACAAAATTATCGACTACTCTCTATCACTTTTTTCACTTATTGACTTCGTTTTCCACTTGCTTCAATACTTAACCGAATAAATCTTTTATATGGAGTAAGTGAGACGCGAACTTTTTTCTTAGTCTCCTGTTGAGGGATTTCCCTACCAGTACATGAACTGTCTCAACAAACATACAGTGATTCTGAATTAAGTGGCAAATACTCCAGACTTCTTGTGAGGGAATTAATGTTTATGGATATATCTGATTGCGCTAACCGCCATAATTTGTAATTGCTGGTTCTCATTGCCATAGAATTTAAAACAAAGTTGAGTCTCATGTGATAACAGTTATTGCAGTGATTGAATATCGAAGCTAAATTGCTGCACTTGAATCACGTTGAGTAAGAATTTTCAAAATACAATCCATAGGATACCTTCTCAGGTCTTACGCTTATACATCCATATAAGCATTTTAGCTCTCCACGTTAAAAAGCACATATAGTTACGATGAAATTTGTGAACATTCAAGCGTTCCGTTATTTGAAATTTACTGAAAACTAATAATGATTATTATCTTTAGATTGGGTTGTGCCATTTGGAAGAAATACTGACTGCTTGAATTTTGCACAAGATTTTGTTAACTGCCTGCCCAATCCTTAGCAACGGTGCAGCGAATTTCATCTTTCCAACGTTTAGTCGATGCACGAACGTGTTAAATGAACATCATGTGACACATCATGCATGTTTTAAGTCGGATCAAATTCACTGAAAAATCAACTGACTGATGATATACGAACTGCTAAATTATCTTTTGAACTTTCGCGCTTTTGTTTTGCTTGTCTGAACGACACCACATACGTTTAGAAAATTTTCTACTCGAATGATCGATTATAACCTCATTATGGAATCTATCATCACTTCATAAAACTAAATTTGTTTTTGTGTTTTGCTGACCGCTGCACAGTTTTTAACTGAACGTTTTGTTCTGATTAGTTTGAAGAGTACGGTAATGGTTTCGAGTCTCAATTTTCCAATGAAGACTGATGTGTATGTAGGTTCAGCTATCAAATGCAATTAAGACGAAACAACTATTCTAGATAACACTGTTAGCTACAATCTGTATGTTATGGATTAAATTGGTTCATAATTCCTTTCTAATGTTATTATAGTGCGTGCAACTGATGTCGACTTATGTAAGTAGTATCTGTGACCAACCAAAAGTGAAATGCTTGAAGGCAAAAGGTAAAGTATATCAAAAAAATGAGAACAAAAACAGAGAATGATTGGTGTAGAAAAGAAAGAACACTGAAGTCTGAGACAATTGATAGATATATGGAAATGAAATATATAACAAAATGTTCCTTAATTTTATATTCAAATACATTCACTTGTCTACACTCGTGTGTTCTTGTGTACTACATGTTACTTGCCTGTCATTTGTTGAGACAAACAAGAAATTCATTGAATGTGACGCAGACAAGTGGATCAAAGATAGCTTTGTATTCTGCCGATGATCTTGTTCTGATAAGTTGTATGAAATTGGTTCGATGTAGTGAATTCAGGTAAAACAGCTATCAACATCGGGTCATCATCAATTGTGATTGTAAATGCATAGCACTGAATACTTAATTCTGCCCGGTTTTCTATAAATTATTTACCTGAATTTAATTTAAGACGGCGTTCTAGCTGAGCTGCAAAATAATTGCAAATACGAAAGAAGATTTTACTATTTCACGTTGTGAATCGGTGCTCAGCTGCTAAAGTATGACAAAACATATCACACAGTTTATTGAAAATAAACGAAAATGGAATTTCAGAAAATGAAGATGGTTTTCTACCGCTGGTATATCCAACAAAAAGTTTACAAATGAAAGAAAAAAAATGAAGATGTATTGTTTTATTCTGTTAGACACATGCTTGTGAAAAGGGGTGATGCTTAAATCCACTTGGTACTGTCTTCTTCACACTTCCGATTGATCAGTCCGTAAATCAGTCTTAAACTTTAATGAAAAGATTTGAATAAACAATATCAGGTAAATTTACATCTGTTTAGTTCAAAAGAACTGTTTTAGTAACGTTAACCTTTAAATTTAACACAGTTCCACATATTCAGTTCTAATGTGACCAGTTTTCAAATGTTTTGCACAGCTGTAGAGGTTATTCAATGCATTGTGCAGCATGTGCTTAATAGTAACCAGAAAAATAATGAACAATTATCTGATCAAAAATCAAATCCAAGGTAGATACAATAAATTGATGCACAAATGGATGACGATAAAGAGATACACAGCAATCTAAGAGAGTGAAATTTTATTTGTGGATCTAGACGACGAGATTAAAGGTTTTTAATGAACCGAACTGTTTAGTTTGGTCAGACAGATTCTACCGTCTTATCAGATTATTTCATTAGCAATTATTTCCATAAAATCTCTCCATCGAAATGATGTTCTGTATCTGCAAACTAGATAAGTTGATTTTGACTTCCGCATAAACTTTTAAATACCATGAAAACGGCCGACAAATATCGACTAACAGGACTAATCACCAAGTAATTTGAGTGATAATAGAAAATGTAATATTGAGCTAGAACACACATAGTACAATCGAAGCACGATCAACGTGCTATCAAAAACGGATAATAACAATACTACGTAAAGAATTGTGATCATATACAGAGTCTAGTTAAACACTCTCAGTTATGAAAAAAATACCAAGTCTACTGTAAATTTGTTTTTTTTGTCGACTAGTAAACAGAACATTTTACTCGAAGACTAACATCAAAACGGTGTCAAAAATCAAACAGATTGAAACGAATTTTTCTAACCCATATTGAACTAACCGGGTGCAGAAACATGAACCTGCTAGTTTTGCTGAGTTACTTGATACCCGTACAGGAATTAGTTTGCTTCAGGCGAGAACATTAAATAAACAAACTAGCCAAAGTAAAATATTGAAATCATATCAATCAAGCATATGGGAAATTATTATTTTTAAAACAGTAAAACATATCTTTCATCTCTAATTTCTCATTACCACGTTCTTTTTTGCTTAATAACGTACGTAAATGATTAATCATTTCATTCAATCTATACTACTATTTTGGCATCAGTACCATTAATATTGTTCGTGTCAATTATTTTTCAACGTTATGTTGTGTACAATCACGTTGATGTTGTACACATTGACGCTTTTACAGTAGAATCACTTCTCATACTTTCCATAAATAACCACGGCATTTTTATTCCGGCTCAATGAAATCCACTTCTTGCTTTGTTCTTTTTGTCATTCACATTTGTGTATAACCATTCAGTGGCAGGTGGATTCAACCTGTGTTTATCAACCTGAATATGACGCGAATTTGTGGGTGGCGATTTTGTAAATATGTACTGAAAAAATCACTATCATTATCAGATAATGAATAGAAATTATTATCATCAGTATGCAGTGTACTTACCGATGTTAAGTATAAACTGATAGGATGATTATCATTGTCATCAACATAATTATATTCATTATCCAATATATAAGCTGCAGTATTATTAGCAGAAGCATAAGTAATGGCATCGCCGTAAACTCCGTTCATACTTTCACTACTACTCACACAACTAGCATACATTGATGTATGCAAACGACATAGTTCTACTTGTAAATTTAACATTGTTGTTATCATTCCTGGTGTATCATCTAGCAGAACGTAGTGGAAAACAATTATTTTAACATTATAATGAATATCGTTAACAACCAAGAACACATGTAAACATTAAAACATATTTATTATATAAAGGAACGAAGAAGAAAAATTAGTGACTAACTGAAAATACAGTAGCTGGCTAAATGTATCAAATCAGTTAGAAATATAGCGAAAATTCGCAACTCAGTATCATCATACGAAGGTGCGTGTTTCAGTTCTAAGTTTCTATCATCACTCATACTACTGTTGGTGACATCACTGCCATTAGTATTCTTCATGTCAATTATTTTTCAACTTTATATTGAAGACAATCATGTTGACATTGTCGATATTGACGCTTTATCAGTTGAATCACTTGTCATGCTTTCCAGAAATAATCACGGCATTTTTGTTCCATCTCAATGAAATCCACTTCTTTCTCAGTTCATTTTGTCAATACCATTTGTGTATAAAGTTTATCAGCAGGTGGATTCAACACAGGTTTATCAACATGAATATGATAAGAATTTGTGGATGTTGTCTGTAAAATATGTGTACTGGAAGAATCATTATCATTGCCATCAAAATAACCAGTGTCATTGTCAAATATATTAGTTGTTGTATTATTAGTAGTAGTGTTGGCAGTGTTACCGCTGCCAAATTCGTTCATGTTGTCATAACTACTCACACTACCAACGTACATGGATGCACCTAAACGACATAGTTCTTGTTCAAAGTTTAAGATGTTTGATTCGATTGCTGGTGTACTATCTGGCAGGCAAGTATTGGAAAACAGATAATTTATTATTGAAATGAATATCGCTGACAAAGAATAAAAATATAAACCTTTAAAAATATTGATTTGTGAAGGAACGAAGGAGATAATGTGTGTAGTCAAAACAGTCATTAACTGAACAGATGTAGTAGCTGGTCAAATATATTAGTTGATTTTGATATACAGCGAAAAAATCTCAACTGTGTATCATCACATGAAGTAGTGTGTTTCTGTTCTAAGTTTTCTTCTGAGCAATACTGTAACAATACTGTAGTAACCCCATATTATTCAAGATCAAATGCACATGAATGATGCTTGGCTTTCGCCTTAACACCGTATGAGTTGGTTTGCGATTTCATCCGATTAGTAGGCTATATACGTGTATAAAAATTTCCTACCAGTGCTAACTGGAAGGACAAAACTATAAACGTGGATAAAAATTTCCAAATAATGCTCCAGTTAGCTTGTAAAACTTGAAACGGTGTGTTTACTTCCGAAATGATTTCGTCGATCTCACAGATGGCCTGCTTGAATATCTCGACTAGCTGTACTGTCATCTAGATATTGCAAAATTTCACAAACGCACATGAGTAGGATGTGCAATTGATAGACTCAATGATATTTGAAAACAAACAAGAAATTTGAAAATTTGTTAAATATGTAGATGGAAGGAAAAGGTGATACGAATAATTGGGCATTCCAGTCGAGTCAGTTAACCTAGCGATTTTGTCAATTTGTTCATCAATTTTACCATCTATACTTGGTGATTATGGAGTCGTCACAATGCTGTTGTGTCGAATGATGATTTGTCATAGGAAAAATCGTTGTATCACTTTAGCTGGTTGGAGACCGTAAGTTTAACGTACCCGGTCTGTCTGGTTATTTTATTCATTACAACGCAAAAAGATGCGTCTAAATACTGTTAGTTATAATAACATGCTCATGTGTATTGTTTTAAACTCTTGAGTGATCAACACTTGCGTGATAGTTTGGTTCATTATCATTGTGAAACTCGCCTGCATTTTTTTCAGGAATTTGATCGTCCAATACGTTTGACATGTAAGACAAGTTGCTACAAGAAGTATTGATCCAAAGCAACCAGATTTGCCAACAGGTATCTCAACAAATTCATGGGCTTGCGTAATGTTACTGACTTTGTTGATCGGTTGATTTGGTAAAAATTCAAGTGTTCAGATACATACTTGAATTTTAACCTATCAACAATGTGAAATGAGATTGTAATTGTAAAACTATAGTGAATTAAACTTGTACATTTCTGGAGTATTGTCGTTGATGTTTTGCGAAGGAACTAGAAAATTTCAAATTTAGCAGGAAGTGGACGGGAGAAATTAAATTACGGGATAGAACTTAAATATAAATAGAGAGAAATGTTGTTTCGGAAGTACTGAAGACATTTTGCTGATTGAAACATCTATATTCTATATTATTGCTTTAACTGTGTATTTTGGATGTATTTGGTTTGTTCAACTTCTGAACTTGTTTGTTCACATCATAGTTTTTGAACATTTTATTTTCTTTTGTCATTTGTTTGTTATTTGAAATATTTCGCTGCAAGAACCTACAAAATCGAAGGTTTGTTTCTATAATTGTTGTATATTATTGATGTTAAAACGACCTTTGGGTCTAATATTTGTAAATTCAGAATAAATTTTGGTACCCGAATTGGAGTATGTGTCTATTGGTAATTCGGGTTTGTATACTGTAAATAAATCGATATGCTGTACGTCAATAACGGGAAGGAGAGAAAACGTGGACGTAACAATGTTAAGTGAAGAATTTGATCTAGGTAACCATTCATTGCTTATGCTTGACGTTTCAACAAGTATCCTCTCCTCAGTCATGTAAATGTCATTCGAGTTTGTTAACAAATAATCATAGCTAATCAATGATATGGAAGTTCCATTATTATCATTATTATTATTATTATTATCGGTTAGGCTAGTTCAGTCAAACGGTATCTCGATCATTAATAAGATTCCTAAATATTGATAAACTGAAAATGTGGAAACTAGATGATTCTGTAAGAAAACGATCAATAAACTCAATTGAATTTAGGTGATAAATGGTTACAGTGTATACTCAGAGCAGAAGCAGGACATCATATGAATCTACATACAAACAATTTATTATCCTTCATTTTGTTTTCAGAAAGGGAGCAATCGTTAGTGTAGCGAAAGTTTCATTCCTTTTTGCTCTACGTGTGTTGGTAATTGACGTTTCTTGTTCTAGCTAGGATTTATATCACGTTTACCACAAAATAGAGAAAACCATAATATATTGATCAATTAGATTGAATATGGTGTTAGACAACAACAAAAATTATGGTCATTGATTTTTCAACGTAAAAAAAGATGAGGTCAACAAAAATACGGTTTATTTAATTAAGCACTCACATTGTATACACAGCGATTCTGAAAATATGATAACATAATATAATGTATTATGATAATAACTAGTGTCATTTACCATTCAAACAGATAAATCGTGAAGAATTCGCAAGTTTCAGGTCTCGTCATAGAATACGTATTGTTTAAAATTGACGAATGTAGACCATTGCCTCCTTAGTTGGTTAGACAAAGTCGACCGATTGAAGGCGAAATGACATGCTGAGTTTGTGCGTGGCGTATGACGAGTGAGAATAACCTATGTTAACTCTATTAGCTTTATACTTGTAGTCGTATTTCATTACAATCAGTTGAAATTATCTCAGATTTGAATTCAGTTACCAGTTTACAATTCAAGAGTTGACAATTGCCATGATTGTAAGCATGTATTTTGCAAAACGTGCTATGACTCAGTTGATAATAAAAAAGGTATGAAGACCATATATCCAGTGATTCAGTTGAAAACTCTCAGTGTTATTTAACTGCAAATGAGAGAGTTCACACACCATGTGGTATACTTTGACTTCCCATTTCCATGTAAATGTTAAATATTGTTCACTTTCATAACTCGGATTAACGTAAACCATAATTATTGACATGCTCAATAAGAATCAACCTATTGACTGTGAGATACGTTTCAGTTTCTAATTCGGATCGCCAAATGAATATGTGATTTCTGGTCAATTTATCATCGAAATTACAATTAAATGTCAAATATCGATTGCCAGTTAGTTCATAGTACATTGACGATGATATGCTCGCCTTTCATTTGATACCTGTGTGTTTGTACATTCAATTTTTCGAATATGTATGACATAGCAGAGATTTCGAAAATAAAGCATTAGAATACTAGGTGATACCTGAATAAAATTTGATGTCATTTATTCCAAATGAAAAGTGAGAGCATCCTCCTCAATGCAGTGGTGGTCCCAGCTGAATGTTACCTTATATCTTGTTTTCATTTTAAATATATTGTTCCATCTCTAGCCTAAGCGTGTTACTCATCATGTATTGGTATTTATTACGGCGCAGTAGGTTGATGCAGACGATGATGCGAATTCCATGTATGATATTATATATTAGGCAGCTATATTGTGATAAACTACAATATTAGGGTAAGGTCTATTATTGGAGCAGTAATAATATCATAATACACCATAATTCCGCATTGTGACTAAAGAAACGCAACCTATCATTATTATTCCTCAACTTAGTGTTCCTTCACTTAACACATTCTGTTTTAAACCATGGACCACCCTATCTTATCTCTTCTTCCGATCACCGCCTGCTTAATTTCATATTTTCCAGTTCCGTTGCCAAACAACAAGGATGACACTACTACGGAAACATACTGTGAAATTCAGGTATAAGTTTTCTGCAATCAAAAAGTTATTTTAAGTAGCTCGTTCAATGGCAGCCACATGATAATCTGAATTCATTCAATTGTTCTGATTCGAGGGAATGACAAAGAATTCAGCGGCAGCAAGGACCTAGAATTAATTACCATATTGCATGTTTTATCATGGATGCCTTTTGATCATTACTACTCCACATGAATGGCGTTACATATATCGTCGACTGAATAATCTAATTTTGAAAAATAATCCGGACGTGTTTAAATGTTTTTCCGAATAGTATTTTTGTACTTAACATTACATACATTCCAGTTGCTTTTGTCACATATTTGTGTCACTGAGCTAAATGCATAAGTTCTTATGGAAAGTTTATAAGGCGTCATATTCCTGCCTGAAGTTTCATAAGTAGCCTTAACTTTAAAATGGTTCTTCTGGCCATGTTTATGATTTTTTAATTTGCCATATACCTCAACAACCTGCATGTTATTCTGGCCCGTACATGCGTTGCACTATATCTTTTTGTTTTTTAAATCTAAAAATCAGCATACCAATCGCATTTAATGTTTGTCAATCAATCCATCATAGTTGTATTTTTTATACATATATGGACTTATGAATTGGTTTATCATATTAGCAGCCTAAAAGACGAACACAGTTTAGATAATAAATTTACAAAGTTAGGTGATATCAACTGCACTTGTATGATAACAAAACTCTCAGGTAGTTGTTGGACAAACAAATATTTAGAATTTAATCTCCTGAGACTACTACTAAAATTATCACTATGTAAACGAATGTTTTTAAATTGCGATTTATAATATAGTTTGGCAGCTTGGATTCTTTAACGCTGCAAAGGTTGCTATTTCATAAGCACATAAAACAACAATATCTATTTTCAGCTGGCTACGCTTTCACCAATATTATAACCTAATGAATACATTAGTTCAAAGATATCTTCATAAAGCATTGTCATGACTTGACAATCACGTAATATGGGTGATAAAATTGATGAAACTAATAACAAAATCGGTCAACGAACTGACTTGTAATTATCATTAGATAGTGTTGTTTCCTCGGTGTCTTCGTTCTATACAGATGATTTCAGTATGTTTCTCTATCGGTTTGCTCATTCAATAAATATCTGAAAACCTTGTCAATGTAATTCAAGGTTTCGGACCATAGCGACACAATTTTCAAAGATGAACACAAGACTACTCGGACAATATATATTCAATATTTATTGTAAAGAAATACCTAAGAATGGAAAAGACGAGAATGAGGAATTGAATTTATTGGCGTTTATCGGATGGCATGGCTCTACCATGCAGCCGTGGTTCCAGCTGAATGTTACCTTATATCTTGTATTCATTTT